TTCTCAACTACTTTAAGATAATTCCCAGCCCAGCTGGTGTTGCTCAGTGGTTGAGCATCGACCCATGAACCAAGAGGTCACCAGTTCGATTCTTCATCAGGGCACATACCCTGGTTGCAGGCTTGATCCCCAGTAGAGGACATGCAGGAGGCAGCTGATCGATGATGTTTCTCTCTCATCAATGTTTCTATCTATTCCTCTCCCTCCATCTCTAAAAAATCAATAAAAACGTTTAAAAAAAATGCATTAAAAAAAAAAAGGAAATTCCCTGCCATAGCCTAAAGGGGAGAGGCGAGAGCAAACCAAGGTCAAGGCCAAAGGAAAGGCCAGAGACCAGGTGTGGAGTAGAGGGCAGAGCCAAGAGCCCAGAGCTTGTCAGAGGAATGGATGCTAGTCTGTTTCCTCATCTGTGAGATGGAAACAGTAATAGCATCTATCTTCAAGGGTTGTTCAAGGATTCAATCAGGTAATCCAGTAAAGCCCTTGGTACAGTCCCTAGAACATAGGAAGTGCTCAGTAAATGTTGGCTTTTACTCTTCATCTCAGATCCATGGTCGTAAGGCAGGGGTGAGAAAACACATTTCTCCTTGGGGACTGCGGATTGTGTTAGCTGACCTTTATCACTCGGGTCTGTGGCTCCCTAGGAGTGGACATTTTTCACCCTCTCTCCCTTTTCTTTTTTTAAATTTTTTTTCATGCCGCCAAGAGTAACCTGCAGATGCCTCGTTGTCCTTAGCAATGGGCTGTGCCTCTATCCTTGGCAGAGAGAGAGAGAGTCACACTCCAAACACAAGCAGATCTTTTGGATTTTAGAGGCAAGCTGACTGGGTCCAAATCCCAGCCCCGTCACCAGCTAAGCTGCTGGGATGAGTGCATTGGCGCACCAGAGCCTCAGTACCCTTCGCCTGTGACACAGGAGTAAAACCCATTTCATGGGCGGGCTGCGCAGGTCACATATGCCAACCCCTGGCACTGGCACTGTCTGGCTACCGGACGCCTCTTCTGACGGGAACACACTTGTCTTCGAGGGGATCTATCCCCTTTGGGACTCGAGCTTCTTAGTAGGCTCCAGACCCCCTTCCAGCATGCATCAGGGGGTTCTCCTGCCCACCCCTCTCCCGCAGCAGAGGGAACAGCCCATGAACTCTTAGAGAGGCTGCCTCTACCTCCTCCCCAGCTTTACCTCCCCACTCCCCCCCAAATCCCAGCATCTGTTGCCCAGACAGTCAGCTGCCAAGCTGTGCCCAAGTCTCTCCCGGGTTCACTTGATATGTTGCCACTTTGTTTTGGAAGAAAAGTCGCTATCAGTGCTGGGCCCCGGGGAGGCGGGTCCTGCCTCTGCCAACTGCCAGCCGTGTGCCGTCTCTCTCGTCTTGCCCTGCGAGTCCCAGGTGATCCCGTTACACTTACAGAGTGTGCCTTACCAGGCAGCTGCCACGGGGACCCTGTGGAGGCACAGATAGCAAACCCCAGGCTCTGGGGGGGCCAGGGCCGCCCTGAGCTCAGCTCTGCAATTCTGTGGACAGGCCGGCCGTCATGTCTACCTATTGAGGTAACTATTTCCCTCATAACAACAGCTATGTGCTGCAGGCCTTGTCTTGCACAGAGAAGGGTCTTTCTCACTTAGTGAGCGCTCCCTCTGATCTAGGCACTTGGGAGGGTTTTTCTTGGGTTAACACCCTCCTAGCCATGCAAGGAAGGCCTCATCACGAGCCCCTTGTCACAGGCGGGAAACCAGAGTTGCACAGGTACTACTTCTAATACAATCATCGGAATATTTATCTGCATTCTACATATAGAAACACTGAAGGTCAGAGAGGTCAAGCAGCTGGGAAAGGAGCAGAATGGGAATTCACAGTCTGTTTCACTCAGCAATCCGTAACATGTCATCACTTAGGACAGTGTCACTCACAGGCGCTCAGGCATTGTGTGAGGGGGAGAGAGGAATAGGCTTGCGGGTCTGCTGTTTGCTGCCTGAGCACCTGGGAGTAGCTGTCGTCAGAAGGGGATTGTGGGTGCCTTACCTGACCACGCACTCCGTCTGTGTTATGAAAAACACAGCCCTCCTCTCTCACCCTCCTCAAGGCGATGAAGTGGCAATGAATGTAATGCGAGGTATTCCTGAAGTTTGCTGCCTTTGCCCACCTTAGAAACAGTGTGTCTCAGGAAAAGTTCCCATCGGAATTGGTGCGCTGGTAACCCGCAGGCGCATCTATCTTAGAAAAATGTCTTGTTTTGAGCTGTGATATTCTTTAAACTTTTAGATTAATTGTTAATGTGTGTGTTTGTGGGTTTTTTTTTTTAATGCAGCAAATCACATAGAGCTCCAGATTATTGAATTATCTAGAAAAATCCCAAGCTGGCCACCACTGGCTAGAGTTGTGTTTGCCACAGTCTCCACCACTCCCTAGTACCCTGTGACAGGGAGTGCCAGTCTCCCTGCAGGGTCACCCTCCTCCTACCAGTTTTCTTATATTAGAGCAGGGAAATGAACTTTCTTGTGCTCTATAAAATGGGAAAAAATTAAAAGGCGATATGAGAGAGTGCACGTTTCTATGTAAAAATAAGTATTTCCGCCCACTTATTTGCACCCAAATAAGATAGACCTAAAGAAACAAACCAGGCCCTTTCCCTCTTCCTGGGGAGTCTCTTCCTGGTTGTTGTTGGCGTTTGACTTTAACACTTGTCTTAGGCCAGGGGTGGGCAAACTTTTTGACTTGAGGGCCACAATGGGTTCTTAAACTGGACCGGAGGGCCGAAACTAAAGCATGGATGGAGTGTTTGTGTGAACTAATATAAATTCAAAGTAAACATCTATATATATAAAAGCCTAAGTGACTGCCGGCCAGTAGCTATGATGCAAAATGACCACCAGGGGGCAGACACTCAATGCAGGAGCTTCCCAGCGACAGCAACTTTTCAGAGTGCACTCTTGCACTCTGGGACCCCTGGGGGATGTCAGACTGCTGGTTTCGGGTGATCCCCACAGGCCAGGTTGAGGGACCCCACTGGTGCACGAATCCGTGCACTGGGCCTCTAGTCATTACATAAAAGGGTACGGTCTTTTTTTTCAATAGTTTTATTCATTTCAAACGGGCCGTAGTGTGCCCACGGCTGTCTTAGGTGGTGTCTGGCGCCTCTGCAGGCGGCCTGGGGACCTGGGCCCAGGATGCTCTCAGCCTCCACCTCGTCCCGGGGCTACTGGAGCTTTCCCGTCATGGTTTTGTTCTCTCTTTGTTGCCTTCTCCAGGTGTCCCCTTCCCAAAGAACTTCCTCCAGATCTGCAAGAAGATCCTGTGTCGCCTCTTCCGAGTCTTTGTGCATGTCTACATCCACCACTTCGACCGGGTCATCGTGATGGGCGCAGAGGCCCACGTCAACACCTGCTACAAGCACTTCTATTACTTTGTCACAGAGATGAACCTCATCGACCGCAAGGAGCTGGAGCCCTTGGTGAGTGTCACCCTGCAGTGACCAATTCACGCCCCGGAACTTAGCCGTTGGTCACGATGTACTTCCGGACCCAGGCAAATTGCTCACTAATGGGTCCATGTTAGCGGAAGCATTGCAGAATGAGATTGACTTTAAAGGTCGTGGAAGGTCAGAAGATGCCAAATGTCCATGACCACCAAATAAGGGTCTTAAATTCCTCTCGGAGAGGTGGCAGGATAAAATGGGACTGTAATAGTTGGGCCAAAGGGAATAGCTTTAATTCTCAGCTCCAACACCAGTCACCTAATGACTTAATCCCTTAAATCAGGGGTCCTCAAACTTTTTAAACAGGGGGCCAGTTCACTGTCCCTCAGACCATTGGAGGGCCAGACTATAGTTCTAAAAAAAACTATGAACAAATTCCTATGCACACTGCACATATCTTATTTTGAAGTAAAAAAACAAAACGGGAACAAATACAATATTTGTATTTGCATGTGGCCCGCGGGCCATAGTTTCAGGACCCCTGCCTTAAATGGACACCTTTGCTCTCTCGTGTCATCTCTTAATTGTTATCAAAAGATGATCAAAAGCATCTCTTCAGGGGGTAAATACACACTGAGCACCTTCTGTGTGGCAGCTGTGAAGGTGCCTTGAGTAGCCTTTACTCTGGGATAGAAACAAGCCAGATGAGAGTACAGCATCACAGGACCCTTGCTTTTCATACAGATCCGCTGGGACACAACTTTTTGTGTGTTTTTTAAATTGATTTTAGAGAGGAAGGGCGCGGGAGAGAGAGATAGAAACATCAATGATGAGAAAGAATCACTGATTGGCTGCCTCCTGCATGCCCCCAACTGGGGATTGAGCCCACAACCAGGCATGTACCCTTGACCAGAATCAAACCCAGAACCCTTCAGTCTGCAGGCCAACGCTCTGCCCACTGAGCCAAACCAGCTAGGGCTGGGACACAGTTTTAATAGAACATATTAGGACCCAGAACATTTGATACAAAACTTTGTTGTTATCATTTAGGGGCCAGCATTCATTTTCTTCACAAGTTACTATTTTTTTAAATTTTTTTCTTTATTGATTAAGGTATTACATATCTGTCTTTATCTCCCCATTGCGTTCCCCCCCACCACTCATACCCTCACCCCCCTGGTGTCTATGTCCATTGGTTAGGCTTATATGCATGCATTCAAGTCCTTTGGCTGATTTATCCCTTAACCCCACCCTCCCTACCTTCCCTCTGAGGTTTGATGGCCTGATCAACACTTCTATGACTCTGGCTCTATTTTTGTTCATCAGTTTGTGTTGTTCATTATATTCCACAAATGAGTGAGAACATGTGGTATTTATCTTTCTCTGACTGGCTTATTTCACTTAGCATAATGCTCTCCAGGTCCATCCAAGCTGTTGCAAATGGTAAGAATCCCCAAGTTATTGTTACAATTAGACCCAGTCTGCACTCTAGAAGCCAAGGGCCTTGGGAAACCCACCATCTTTCATGACATGTGGTATCTTAATGTGATGCCCATCATGGATATTTCTAGTCAGCTCTACAAAGGGATTTTTTAGCCAGAATAGCACACTGCTTTATAGTAAAACCCTGCTTTCTTCCTGAAACATTAAGGGGAAGTTTTGTGAAATGTAACTGAGAGAGCATCTGTGTTTTATCCACGTGCATCTGAATAATGTCCAGAGTGCAGAGCAGGCTGTCATCTTCTGCTACCCTATCTTCCTTTCTCTTTATGTAAATGTTTCTAAAATAAAGGTTTCATTACTATTTATGTATGGTGAGGCCAACAGATCAAACTCTCAAAAGATAGTTTGTTATGCTCACAGATCCCAAGAGAAGGGGCACATTGTGTCATGGGGGCCATACATGGAAGCAACCGGATTGGTTGAGGCAGAAGGAGCAGGGAGAATGTGAGCAAGAGCCTGTATTATGGTTTCCCTGGGAAGGAATGGGCAAGGCAGGTAAGGAAGTTTAAGATGAACCCGTTTGAATCATTTCAGAGGGCTCTGGGCCTAGGGGCTACCTGGTTGTCTGGTAGCTGGCCTTGGGGTGATGAGGGCAGAGGAGTAGGAACCTAAGTGTAAGAGGAGAGAGAGGAAGTGGTTGGGGTGTGGATTCTGTTGGTAGGGATTGATGAGTGAGTAAATAGCTTGAGGCTGAATTATTTACTATCCCTAGGATTGGCTAGCCCTGGGACCTTCGTGGTCTGTAAGACTCTAGATGTTAAAGAATCCAAGTACAAAAAATAAAACACATGTTGAATACAGTACAGTACCTGTATCTGGCAAAGAAGGTGTTAGTGAATGTCATGTATGATCTTTAGAGTTTCTGAACTTGAATTCTGTTATAATGCTATCAGAATATATGGTAGATCTTTTATTTTATTTTATTTATTACTACAGGCCCGTTGCACAAAGATTTGCGCAACAGGCCTTCCTTCCCCTGGCTGCCGGCACCGGTTTTCCTCCGGCACCCGGAACCCAGGTATTTGGTCCAGCCGCAGAGGAGAAGGCAAGCTTCTTCAGTCTTCAGTCTTCAGTCTTCACTCCATGCCTGCATATGCAAATTAACCACCACCTTTGTTGGGTTAATTTGCATACCCATTCTGATTGGCTTGTGGGTGTAGCGGAGTGACACCAATTTGCATGTTTCTTTTTTATTAGTGTAGATATTATTTTTTTGCATCACTCAAGAATTCTGGAAGAGGGCAAGACTTTCTGGGTATAATTAAGGCATATCATTGGCTAAAGAAGTGCTAATTTTCTTCATATTTATTACAACAGCTTTCTAGAAAGCTTTTGGGGACAGGAAGTATGTTGTCCTGAATTTGTTCGACAGCTAGTGTAGGAAGAAGCTGAAGTGCCTCTTGAGTGAGTTGGCTAGTCTGGCCTGTGTAAAGGCTGCCGTGAGTAAACAGCCACTTCAAGAAGAAAAGGCTATGCAAACAGCTCAAGGGGGTTACGGGTAAAATGCTGGGAAGAGTGATAAAGCTAATTTTAGAAAATGTCAAGGGCAAAGGAAAGCGTGGGTGGGGCCGTGAAAGGAAGAGAGCAGAGAAACCACTCTGACCTCACAGAGAAGAGAACACGCTTCTGCTTCCCGCAAGTGTAGAACTGACACGCTCAGGTGGAGGGAATACCTTCATCTGACCTGCAGGTCCCCCAGGAGGAAGGGTGCCACTAAGCACACACAGTGTTGGTTCCGCTGAGCTAAAGGAGCCGGAGCATCGGATGGACAGATCTGAACATCAGTTTCTACTTCTACAGAAACATAAAGGCCATTGTAGGACGTAGCTGAGTGAAGTCAGAAAGTACAGAAAGCCCTTTTCTTTGCCATCAGACAACTTTGTTATTTTCTGAAGAAGAGGCCACTGGGGTTCTAAGACCTGGCCGTGCCAGGAGCTGACTGAAGTCTTAGAGCCACAGAAATGCCTCCTAAAGCCCTGTATTCTAGATAAGAGCCTCTTTTGGGGGAAAACTACCACTGGATTAACCAGAAATTATTAACAGTGGAGGGGAGGGTATCAGAAACATATTTCTTTAAATCTTGCTTCAAGTAGTATCCTTCCTATCTTTATGCTTTGTTAATTATGATTCCAGGGAGACTAATTTTGATGCTTTTACAAATTAACAGCAAATGTTTTTAATGCTTAATTATCTGAAATTATATATTTATTTTACACAAACCAGAACCTATAAAAAAAAAAAAGAAAAAGATATTGAGGATGTTTCACGAACAATAACTATGCAATGTCAAACTCTGGATACTTAGCATAGCCCACTATGAATACTGTACTTGTGGACTGTTATTACTGAAATGAGCGCTTTCAATAGCTGACGGTGCTAGAATTCCTAACTTCTAAATCCACTGTTGCAAATGCATGTATTAAAGTCAGTCACAGCATATCAAATCAACACATTTTTATTTTTATTTGATTTGCATAGATCAAGCGCCCAATATATGCAAAGTAAATTGCTCAGATGTTCTAAGTACATAAGAAAGATATACTTTTGAGGATTTACAGATGCACTCTTAAAAAATGTAAAATAATGACTGCCACTCATCTTTGACCCTTGAAGGATGACCAAGAAGTCAGGCATTTGGCTTCACATTCTAGTCATACATTCTTTAGACTCGAATGCAGCCAGGGGCCAGAGGACACCATTTGTCCTGCCGGTATCCCTTAGAGCATTAGCATTCCCAGGGCCCTCACTGTCATTCCTTGGGATCCTACAGTTTAGATTCCCCCACCTCCTGTTTTCCTCCGCCATGCTTCCACCTAGTGTACCGACACTCCTCTGCTCCCAGACTCGCCCAGTTGCATGTCCAACACACTGGTTGTGTTGAGGGTCCAGCCTCCCACAAGGGTAGAGATTCAGTCTCATACAGTGCTGGGGACAAAGCCTAACTCTCTAGATTCAGACCCTAGAGACTTCCTTTATTAACTTGCAATCTTGAGCAAGATAGTTGACTTTTCAAAGCCTCATTTTCCTCATTCATAGAACGAGTATAGTAATAGACTTGTTATAAAAGTTACATGGGTTAATCTCATGGTAGGTGCTCAAGAAGTGTTAGCTGTGAAGCGAGATCATGAATGTAACGTAGCTGGCATGTAATAAGCAGAGGTACCATAATGTTCTCTTCTCCAGATCCCATGGCCTTTGCCATCTTAGTGATCTGCCTGGTAGCCTGGTAGCAGAAATAGTTCATTGAATTGGTGCCACCCTCTTGGAGGGATGGCTGTGTATGTGACATAGCTTGCATTGCTTATGTTGCCTGGTACATAATAAATCCTAACTGTATTTTTGAATTGAGAAGAGAACTTTGTGGGTGACCCACCTCCATCAAAAAGGATTATACACGAGGTGTTTATTCTCTGGTGCTTTCCTCATCTTAGAACGTGTCTACAGACCTTCACTTGCCCACTGTTGGAAGTAATGCTTCATCCTATCGGATTAGCAAAAGATTTAAAGCAAAATAAAGTGCAGAGCAGTGAAGA